TCGTGACTTCGTTGCGTTTAACTTCAGTGAAAACCGTGTCACGCCAGTCGTAACGGTGAAGTGTGTACAAAAAGTTAATGAAATTAAACGTAACTGCGCCAGCTTCAACGACAACGATTTACCGTAGAAATTTGTGAAGTTGGATTTGTGAACTCGTGAAGTTATTTAATTACACGTGTGTACGTAATCTGAATGGATTTCGGAGTTTTGGATTAAAGTGACATTTTGGTAGTGACAGATTAATCTTTTCATTAATGAGAGTAGCTCTGAAATCTTGAAACGAAAAATATTTTGATAATGGTTTCAGTGAAAGGTACTGAAAGATGAAATAAAATTGAAATAAACTGCTAAATTGATTGCAAGGAAATATTTGTTTTCAAAGAATGAAAGTTTCATTCTTTAACCGCGAGTGATCGGTATCCAGGGATACATTTTTCCACCATAAGCTCCGCGACACCATATGCACGATGGAATTGCGTTACGGTCGTTCGCTAAGGAAAATATATTTTGCCATTATTTTGAATAAAAGCGTTAGAGAAATAATGGAGAACATCCCTTTGCATACACGTCGCCCGATATACTGCGGAAATGGAAAATATTGGTACTGTTCAACACAAACCTTTTGTTAACAATTGAAATTACTGCTAACCGAATGCTAAATCAGCTGAAGAATCTGATGAAATTATCAAACAATCTGAATTATTTTGTACATTTTCTTTTATACTTGTATATTTTCGTTTTACATGTTTATTGTAATTTAATTCTACAAAATGTTGACTGAAAGGAAAAATTATTCAAGTGAAGAATACTTATGAAGTATTGAATAAATTAATAGTTAAACAACTATGTTACACATAACTTACGAATGATTTGTATATGAACAAAAATGGTGCAATATGAAATTTGTAAAATATGAAATTAATTTTTTGTATAATATGGATTATAGTGTTCATATAGATGTTTAATATATTAGAATATAATGTTTAATACATTTGAAAAATCATAACTTTAAGATCGTTTAATCCATTACATATAAAAAGCATGAAAATAGAAAAAAATACTTGAGAAAAGAAATAAGAAAAGAAATTAATTTTCTGCATTAATTACTCGGTCAAAAAAGCTACACATTAAAATCAGATTTTAAAATAAAGTTCTTTTTAGTAGAGGAAAAATAAACGAGATAAATCCATTAAAATCGTAATACAGAAAGGACCAGTGTTTTTTCAGAGCATCGACCTGACAATTTTCGAATCGCGAAAAACGTGTAACGGATAGCAGTTCAATAGGTTCAATCGATTATCCGTCAGGCCGTCGGACAAATTTCGAATTTGATTTCATTCTTTCCCGACATTACTGGAGCACAGAACGTTTTTCACGCGAGTCGTCGTAGTCGAAAGCTCATCACTCGCCATGCCAGACTTTGGATAAAGAGAACAGGAAATAGAGAGGAATATAGATTAAAACGCGGTCGAGTCAAAACGTTCCGGGCACGGTCATCTCTTTTCCACGAGATCGCGATACCACTGCAAAAGCTCTCGAAAGAAGCTTTCAGGTTTATCATAATTGCATCTCGCGACCCGATCTTCCTTCTTTAACGATGAAAGGATGAACGAACACCAGGAATTAAAGAATGGATCGGAATTATGAATAAATATTAATGATCAAGCTTGCTGCAAGCGGTACCGAAACGCTGAATAAAGTATTTACAGGTTTCCCACATCGATGGACAAATTGAGAGATCAAATTATTTGGCGCATTTGCTGTTTCTGCAGGAATTATGTGGTACTTTTTGTAAATTAAAAATTGTGTATTTATGCCTTCTGTGGATTTAAGAATTATGTACTTATATTATATAAATTATTCTGTACATAAATATAAAAATGATGTACTTATATTTTTGTGTAGGTACATTTTTTTAATCACTATAGTCACTGATAAAAATTAAGCAAATGAGGTTAGGTTTTGTGCAATAATTTGTTCAGGAAAATTACAGGTATAATTTTTTTAAGCATCGACAGAAACTAAATAATAAAGAGATTATTGTTTTGTAAGAAAATTTTATACACAAGGATATTTATACAATACAATATGTATTTATATACATATGTATATATTTGTATTTTTTAACAGTGACTGACAAAACTTAAGGAAAAGAGGTTACATGTTTAATAAGATAATTCATTTACACAAGAAAAATTGTATTTTTATATTTTTTATATAATTACTAATAAAAATGTAGTAGAAGTAGTTGCATATTAATTTTGTACAATAATTTAGTTACATGATGAAAATTACAAATGTATATTATTCGTATAGTTACTGATAAAGATTAAATAAAAAAGACACTTATTAATTGTGCACAATTGTGAAAAATTACATATTTGCATAATTAAAAAAATGTAGCAAATGTGGTTGCCTATTAGTTTCATAATATAATTGGTTTACCCTTAAAAAATTACATATTTACATCTTTTATGTAGTTACTGAAAAATGAAGTAACGATTGGTTTATAATATATTAGTTGTATAAAATAATTTGTATAAAATGAAGTAACGAAAGGTTTATATATTAGTTATATAAAATTTGTTTTTCCATAAAAATTTGATGATAAAACAGTGTCCAATTCATCATTTAGTATACCCTAATTTTTCGTATATTATACGATAGCTGTGTAAACACGCGTAGTTTGGTTATCAGCATCAAATACATTTACTTCCGGTCATCGAGCTTAAATTAACGTTCGGGTATAAATTAACCGCGACAATGGGTTAGTCTATACCCCGTTGCACATGGGTAGGATCTCTATTATCCTGACCAGGTCGAATCTATTTCTGGCCAACAGATCTAAATACGAAACGACGATCGATTAGTCGATCAATTCGACCAGCACGATTCTTACAATCGATTCCGTAGATCTTGCGCGCGAAGGCTCTTCGTATCGAACGGAATGGCGAACGTTAGGTACAACTTCGTTGCCATTTGAATTAGGACGACGTTTCCGACCGTTCGGGATATCAATTAACGTCTGTCGAGATGCAAATGACGGGGCTACGTATCAGGATATCCCTTTGGAATTTTCCCTGGTTAATAAAAGCGGTTCTTAATATTAATCTTTTGCACTCCAGGACTTTTTCGTTAAAACGAAACAGCAACTCGATTTTCCGTATACTTGATTTTCTCATAGTTAACTGAAAATTTCATCTACAAATTACAAACTATTATTTACAAATACCACACTATATTTTATGTATCCTCACGTTAAAAAGAAGATTTGTTAAATATCAAGCTTTGTATTTTTTCTTTGTATTTTATTACACAATCGCCAAGATGCGCCCTCAGCTTGTCGGATCTAGTATAAATATTAATAAATTTTGTAATTTGAAAAAACTTCAAGATATTAATAAATTTTGTATTTTATGAAAATGTCAAGACATTAGTAAATTTTTATCAAGACTTTAAAATCTCAATAAATCTTGTAATTTTTCAAGAATTCAAAATGTTGATAATTTATGAAAATTTCAAGATACTAATAAATTTTGTAATTTATAAAAATTACAATATATTAGTAAATTTTATAATTTACGAAAATGTCAAGATATTAGTAAATTTTTTAATTTATCAAGACTTCAAGATCTCAATAAATTTTGTAAGTAATCAAGGCTCCAAAATATTAATAAATTTTATAATTTATGAAAATTTCGAGGTATCAATAAATTTTGTAATTTAAAAAAGAAACCTTGTAAATGAATAAAAATACCTGTTAACTAGATATTTTCCTTTATTTTTGAAGTGTTCGAAATTAATTTAAGGTAAACACAACAACAAGATGGCAGGAAATATTTTTCTTCAATTTTCGCTTATCTTCTTTTCAAATTTTCACCTTCTGTTAACATACGTCCCCGTTAAAGTTTTATCAAGCGTGTAACGATAAAAGGACGAGGAATATGTCGAAGAAAGCAGGAAGAGGAAGAATAAGCAAAATCGAATAACGTGCAGGAAAAAAGGACCAAAACAGATAAGATGTGCGATGGTTCGACTTTACATCTCTGCAATGTACAGTTACCGTGGGAAAGAAAGGAGAAAGAGGGAAAATAGGAACACGAGGCGAAAAGAAACTGAAATATGCATGAAGAAATGTGATAAGAAAATTTCACATTTCTGACGTGTCAGGTTGAAAACATAAGTAATGTATTTGTCGACTTTCTTGAAATATTGCTGTCAATAAAATTATTTGTTTTGAATGATACACTTATCTTGGAGTACATGTTCAATGAGTTGCTTGTAGACTTTCTCAAAATTAAACAAGTTTATTTTTGGTGTTTTTATTCTGTGTACAATCAGTCGGTGCTTAGTATGTAAATATGAGAAAATTGTAATAATGAAACGTAGGATGTTGGTTAGAATGAAACTTTCAATTTAGGTTACGTTTCTTAAGTTTCTGAATAAATTCACGAATTTCTGAATATATTAATTTCGCAGTTCTTCAATTTTTCTATATCTCAATTTGTTACATCCTTATTATCGAATTTGGTAATTCTAAAATTTGTAAATTTTCAAATTCTGAAATTTCACATTCCTAAATTCCTAAGATCCCAAGATCTCAAAATTCGAAATCCCAAATTTTCAAGTTCCCAAACTCATAAAACCTGAAATACCAAAAATTCTAAAATTTCAAATTTTCAGACTCCCAAATTTCCGAATATCGAAATTCCCAAATTCCCTAATCTCCAAATTCCCAAATTTCCAAATTCCCAAAATCCCAAATCCCCTACCTCTCAAATTCCCAAAATCCCAAATCCCGCAATTCTCAAATTCTTGAATTCTCAAACTCCCAAATCTCCCACCTCTCAAACTCCCAAAATCCCAAATCCTCTACTTCTCAAATTCTTGAATTCCCAAACTCCCAAATCTCCCACCTCTCAAACTCCCAGAATCCCAAATCCCCCACTTCTCAAATTCTTAAATTCCCAAATTATTACATTACCAAGTTACCAAGTTACAAAATAATCAATTTGCCAAGTGATCAAATTACCAAATTCCCAAATTCCTAAATCTCCAAAGTTCCAAATCCTCCAAGTTCTCAGTTCCCAATAGTGCTGTATCGTGGCCATTGTTGATTCGTATTAATTAGCATATGAATCTAATTAATTTAATTGGGGTCTTTTATCAACCTGCAGGTAGGTATAGGTGGCACTTGACATACGCATTTAACGTTTGAAGAATCATCGCTGTTTCCTGGTTTTAGTATATCGCCTTTATGCATCTTTAAGTTTCCAAGTTTACACATTTTGCCTAAAAATTAATATAATATTATGGGATAGTTTATACATATAATAACGTAACCTGTCTGAAACGTTACAAGTTAAAACAAGTGAAACAAGTTCAAACTTTCTTGACACATCAATTATCTAGTTATTAATTCATTCTGAAGAATTATCATTATTAGTTAATTGTAATGATATTAGAATGTCTCATGATGACTACAGATGTCTTCAATGAACACAAATGAAGGTTACATGGTAAACATTAATCTTAATTATGACAGAGATAAATCATGATAAAATTAGCATCAATCATTTACTGATGATAAACAAATTAGTGAAAGCTGTTTTGTTAAACGAAACACGTGATACTTGACTTAACATACCTCCATCAGAACTGGAGCTGTTATTGCGAATAATAACGTCGCCTTCCTCTTCTACAAAAATTAAGTTAATTATCATATTATGTAAAAGCAATGGAACGCGTTTATTATACCGTAAACCTACCGCATCTGTAAGTTGGAAACCAGCCGGGACATTCCGTTACTAGATTTTGTTTATTGGTATACACAGGTGCGCATTTATTATTTACATTTGACATATCCCGAAGGAATGGAGAGCACTGACTACGATTCGGCTTCTTGCAATATGGTTCCTCGATTTTACCTAAACGCGGAATATGTTAAAAATAGTTAAAAATGACTATTTGAAAACTGTACAATTATTCACCAATTGTGTGAAACAAAAGAAAATGAAGGTTGGGGTTCTTAATCCAAATGAATCCAAATCATGATTCACGGAATCGAGATTCTTGTATAATTCATCTGTTCGATAAACCGGTCCTTTTAAATACTTCTACGTCGATCATTTTAGATTCCGAATTAATGTTTACAAACACAACTACTTCAAAGGAAATATTTTAAAAGTTTTGTCTCGGAAAGGTTAGGTTAATTATCAATCACCTGAACGCGAAATTTGGGATCACTTTAATCGAAGTAGATTCTAATTCTTGAATCATTGTTCATCGAATCAATGAAATTTCTTTGGTGGCACACGTTGAATTTTAATCTTGAGATAAAAAATTAAGCAAGAAGGTGATCATTTTACAGTGTAAGACTCGAATTGATGTTTCTGAACATAACTACTTCAAAGAAAATGAATCAAAGGATTATCTTTTAGAGGTTAGGTTAATATCATATGAGGTCCAATAGCATTGTATAACGTTATAATACTAAGGACTTCGATTATTTTTTCGAAAAAATATATAAACTATTTGACTCGAACTAGTTTTGTTGAACACATTTGAAACAAAGCTGCTGAATTTTGTTTAATATAGCAGAATTCATATTACTGTATTCGCAGTATACAACTCTTTTATACCTGTGAACCCTGGCTGACAGAAACATTCCACTTCCGGATCAGCTTTTGGATGAACAATTTCTCCGTCTTGGTAAATTTTTCCATCCACTTTGCAAGTTGGTCTTACTTCCCCTTCGCCGACTAAATAACATAATCGTATTTGCTTGAACTTAACTGCGATAGGACACGATTTTAAGTTATCTCATTTTCCGATTACTCACGACAAATAATTTTTCCACAGCACAAATCTGGTGAGCCTCTTAAATAACATTTGCCTTCCGGATCACCACGGTAACAATCAACAATCGCACAGTTGAACACGGGACTGTTATAAATTGAAACATTACATTGTAAAAATTTTGTTTCAAGATTTGGATGTGAAAATTGTTCAAGGTTTCTTAAAGTATTTCTTTGTTTATAAAAAAGGGGTTTCATAAGTGGCATTCTTGAATACTGGATTAAGAGTGAACATGTTAAACCGGTTTAGAATCGCAAAGAATTCCAAACTTTGACTTTCAATTTGGAAAATTTTTTCACTTTTAAAATCTGGCGAATTTATAATTTGTAATTTCTAAATTTCTAAATCTGACAGTTCGAAAATTTGTTATATCTAAATTTACATATTCGACAATTTGAAAGCTGAGAAATTAAAAAGTTTGAATATCTAACAACGTGAAATCTTGAAAATGTAAACGTTTAAAAACTTGTCAATGGAAAAATTAAAAACTAGAGAATTTTTAATTACTTTGCATTGCACCCTCCTCCTCACTTTGATCATTTACTTTCTTAGAAAATTCACAAAATATGTAATTTCCAAATGCTTCCAATACGCGTGTAAGTATGCAAAGAGGTGCTCTCATGTTGCAACTTGGCGTTACCTTTTATTTACATGTAATGTACTCTTGTGAGATATGTTAATACTCTTATAAAACGCGGGGAAGACAAAAAAGTGTGAACCGAAACATATGAAGATCATTCAATTGAAACGGTGAGGGAGCTAGTTAAGTGAGCCACTATAGTGGCGCTAATCTGCGATGACATTCGCGAAAGCCACTATTGTGGACCGTCCTACAGATGGTATCCGTGAAAGCCACTATAGTCGTGCCTAAGATGTTAAATAATCAATTATTGAACAAAACTTACTCATTAGGCGGCTTCGCACTACAGTGACATCCTACATCGCAACGGTTACGGTCTTCGCTCCTCAATGCCTCATCATCGTTATATTCGTGCCCATTCATGTAACATTTATCCTTTGCCAATTTTTTTAAATGATCGCAATTGTAACTTTCAGGACAACAGTCGCTGGAATTCTTATATATCGGTTTGCAACCGAGATCCTTGTAATATCTCAGCGGACCTTGACATTTGTTCAGATCACACTCTGAGAGTGTCGACAAAATCGATTAGTATTTTTGTTTTTGATTCACGAATCAATTTATGCAATTGGTAGTAAACAGTTTATTCGAATATATGGGCTTTTAGAAATGTAATTGTAACTTTTGTAATTGCTTAACTGTAAGTTGAGGAGTGTACATTGAGAAGATTGTGGAATCAGTCTCGAGTGCATTTTAGTTATGGTTTGCAATGTATTTGAAAGGAGGTTACTATATTGATTGAGATACGTTTAATGCAAACATGATAAGTGAATAATTTATTGTAATTTTAAAGAACGTAACAGCCAATTTAATTGCATTTCTTTCTGTAAAAGACGATGAGTCTTCTTTTAGAAGTATCTTTTTCTACATGGATATATTAAAAATTATTAATGTGTTGCATCGTAAGAATTCAATAACATGTAACTAAGTTATTGAAATAATGTAAGAATATTTCCATGATTTATTTATGTAAATATTGTAAATGATGTAAATAATGCAAATAATGCAAATAATGCAAATAATATAAATAATGTGAATAATATAAATAATGTAAATATTGTAAATGATGTAAATAATGTAAATAATGCAAATAACTTGAATAATACAAATAATGCAAATAATATAAATAATGTAAATGCAAATACTACAAATTATGAAATGCAAATAATATAAGTAATATACTATAAATAATGCAAATACTGTAACATAAATTAAGTAAATACAACTGTTTTATACATTATATTTTATATTATGTTACACTCAATCTTCTCTTCGTTTCTTTTCTATTCAAACTTGAGTCTGTGCCTTATTTTCTCCAAGTAATTTTAAAACTATAAGTCTGTTTAATCTCCTTCCGCATTATATTTCTTTCTATATAAAGAAGCTTGTCTCGTAGACAGATAAAATAAAATAAAAATAAAATCAGGCTTTCATCTGATATTCCTTACTTTTCGCAGTCACGTGAAGAACGGTGAGGAACATTACGAGAATGAACCTCTGAGCAAACGAACGTGAATCACTATATCCAGCCATCATTTAGTATCGACTGTGTAAATATCGTCGCACTTGTCTTCTATTTATATTGCCGATGTCGCTGCAGTGCATAAGAATAACTTATACCGGGGAAACCGTGGGAAGTCCTCGTTTTGTTGTTGAGTAGGAGAATTGTTTAATTTAATTGCTGGTCAAATATGTTATCAAATGAGAGGGGAAATACTGTAGTGAAAAAAAAAATAAAATAATTAAACTACTGGTATACAAAATTTATGACAGAAAGGAGGATAAAAGATGTTAAGAAGAAGCCATTTTTGACTCGGTATGATTGCAGAAAATCGGATCATTTTCTTAAAATTTTAAAATGTAGAGTGGTCAAAAAATTGTAATAAACGAAACTAAATAGTGAATCCACGTTAAAAATAAATCAGAAAGAAAGAGTAATATTTTTTCACATTTGATTTTTTGTTGAAAAAATTGATCATTCAACACATTGATTATTCAGCACATTTGAATAATTTGAGTTTGAACGTTGATATATTTAAAAGAAAATTGTTTACAACAGGAAAAATGGAGATTTTAATCAAATTTTCTTAAACTTAGTAATCAGTTGATTCTGACGTTTAATGAATTTTAATATTAAAACTATTGAAGTATATTATTAGTCATTGTTTTGTATGAATTTTTTAATAAAATTTTTAATTCATAATTCAGCATTATAAATTTAGCTAAAATTTTATTCTTTGAGTTACAAACAGCACAGACTAATAACAATAATTGTATTAATAATTGCATTCATTAGTTTATAACAATTCTTTTAACACTCAGTTATTGAATTAATTAAGCAAGTGTTGAAGTTGTCATCAGCCTTGAGATAAACAAATTTTTTCATAATTATTTCTGGGGATTTATATTTAATTTCTGTATAATACTAACATTCCAATGTCTCTAAATATCTAAATATTTGAATTCCCATGTTTTTAAATGACTGTAATAATTTTCTTATTTTGATCTTAAATCTTTAACACTGCCTAATTCTAGACAACAAAATTGTGAAAAAACTCGAAATATCAAGCTATCAACTAAATACCAATTAAAAATAAACAATACACCAGTTAACAATAAACAATATGAATACACTTACCTTCAGTTAATAAAAAAACAAGAACACAAATTTTGAATGAAACACAACTATTAAAACGTCCAAATTGAAATGCGCGATGAATTGTATTATCACGAAATATATATAACCTATATGTTATCATATATGTTTACGTTCATTATTTTTTTTCAGCTTCATGCATTATCATACGATATTATTGGATCAGGTGAATATTTAACGTCAATGATAAAAATTGTTATCGCATCTCAATGACAATGATCTATATTTTAATTGTTCTGTCTCATATGTTTTTTCAAATATCGTTGAAATCGTAAAGCTTAATTACCGTTGAATCGCAGCTTGTCGCAAAAACAGTGTCAAAATATTTAATCGTTTTAGCATATCGGTAAGTTCAACATGTGTAAGCAAATAAAAGAAGGTGGGACGTTCGAAACAAGGTCACGACTTTGGGACTTTCCTCGTACGTCAGATGCAGTACGTCAGGTTGGACGTTACGTTGGTGTCACGAATGCAGAAATAATACAAATCTGGGTATGTGAATATACGTTTTTATCTAATACTTTTCATTTTTGGTGATTTAATACGTTTAGTGTCGCGTGAATTTATAAGGAAATCCTCGTCAGACAACAAAATAAAATTCATTAAAATTTTATGAGAAAAAAATATTAACATACATAAATTGTAACATACATGATACAATCCTGTAAGAAGTAAAAATGAAGTAAACTTTAAATAAATTTGAAGTAGTCATTCGAATCAATTTTCCAGTTTCATATTTTACACTATTAGCCAAAGACATGGCACTCAACGTGTTACATGTACTTCATCTAAATTCACATGTGTTGCATATTTTGCAACATATGAACAAATTCACATTTTCCGTTTTACAACTGAACTACAACATTCTAGTTTCTTTACTACAACTTTTTTACTTTCGTATCATATTTTACACTGTTAGACATCGTACTCAATGTGTTAAGGTTTATCTAAATTTGCACATATGTCACATATTTTGCAACATATCTGCAAATTCACATTTTCTGTTTTACGACTGAACAACTTTCTAGTTTCTTTACTACGACCTTTTTAGTTTCATATCATATTTTACACTGTTAGACATCGTACTCAACATGTTAGGGTTTATTTAAATTTGCACATATGTTACATATCTTACAAGTTATGAAACTACGGACACCAGTATACATGCTAAACCAGAACGATTTGAAAAACGTTTGATTGTTTCGGAATAACCTTCTGAAATTTAGAAACCTTCTGCTCTTGGAATAGATTCTAAATCACTGGGAGCATACATGACAGGCTCGAGTGTATCGTTGCATTTGGAGTACGGAAGACGTTGACACGTGGGGAAAGGTGGCACTTCACAAACGCATTTCACGCAAACGGAATCGTAGTCTGTTCCTTGATTAAGTTCATCGCCCACGTGCATCTTCATGTCACCGAAAATGCATACGTTACTTTCTGGAAAATTAAAAAAATATCCTCATCTAACACAATTCAGTGTCTCAATATTCATTAGTTCGACGTCCATTGTTACAAGCAGTGTTAATTGATGAAACAGTGACAATTTCTCATTGTCTTCCCTAACTTTCATGAATTAGTGACATATGTTAATTCTTTGCATTCCTTAATAGCTTTTGCTTACTCCTTAATTTACAAAAAAAAATATACTGATCGAATTGAGTAACCTCCTCCTTTTTCGAGGTCGGTTAAAAATACGTCAAGTATTAAGTGTAGTGTAAGTCAAGAAAGGAGTTCTCAATGAGGAAATATACATATGAGGCATGTGGAGATACACATGTGGAGACACACTCGACATAATAGCGCAAAGGGTTGATGTAATCATCAGACACTCTACTAGGTTAATTTCGTTGGATTTTCATACCTAAACATTATGGTAAAAAATTGAAAATCAAACAAATTCAAAGAAATTGTGGGCTTCATTTATTATTTATCAAGTAGATATTAATTGTAAAAATAGAATCAGCAAAGTATGCAGGGTGTTCCATTAACAATGTTACAAGGCAGTGTCTCCAATATTTTTAAAAACATAAAGAATATCAATTAAGTAATACTTAAGTAAGTAATTTAGAAAAGGATTAGCTTAAGATTTCGGCAAATATGGCTTCAAGCAAAGACTGATTATTATATTTATCCCTGTGGATCGAATTTGATATTTTCGTCTGCCATTGAAGATAATGAAAATAACAACTTGTAACAGAATTGAAACACCTTATATAAATGCAAGATTTTCTGTACTCGTATATTCTTTTATTAACGTTAAAATATAGTAATTATTATGGTTAAAATTTGTATTCTAATAAAATTAAAAAATAAATAAATTTTCTGACTGTGCCTAAATTAGATGTGTTTCAATCTTGTAGTGTGTGCTAATTTATTGTATTGCAGAATAAATTATTTCAAGATATACAAAGTTAGCCACACAGAATAGTAAACCATCATTTAACCTACAGTTTGACTATTAATACATCTAATTAGTAATACTATTAATAGTTTATACGTCATATTTAGATATAAATTTATAATTCAATGAATCACTCATTCTACAAAAACCACAATTATCCGATGATAAATATTATTAAATATTTCATTCTATATTTAGTAAAAGCAAATAAATATTGTTAGAACAATCAACCGAGTTTGTTGAATATAAAATTACTGTTAATTGCGATTTTCAATAACATTCACCATTCATAAAACATTGAAAACGTTGATAGAATTGATCGTTCAAAGCGTTAAAGTTAGAGGAAAATTAATGTACAAATACTTTACAGATTTGAACACAAAATGAATGACACGTTAGTAAACAATGGTTCAAAGTGAAATATGCTCCATCATAAATTTCGGTGCGAGCACTTCTGCAGCGAATATTGCTGTTAATTTAATGAAACATATGTACCTAACGAATATATAATGTGCAAGAAAGCAAACTAATTAGTGATATTTGTTCAGTTAAATGAAACAGGTATTTCATGTCCACACGTGAATAAATAAAATTTTAGCGAGTGCTAATTATAATTGTTTAGAAGGAAGTTGATTAAGAAGGATAAATTTAGTAACGATCGTTATCAATGTTAACGAATTAGTAACAATTGTTTGTATGATTAAAACACGTTTCGTAATTGAACGTACCTTCGTCGTCAGATAAAGATTTACCACTGTCATGATTATGAATAACGGTATCGTTCGCATTTTCTGCAAAAATTAACATAATTTTGTATATTCGGAAATTTATGTTAGAACTGAACATTTCTATTTAAACTTACGACATCTGGAAGTAACGCTGCAATCTTTTTGTGGATTTTGCCCATCGTAAAATACGGGTGCACACATTCGGTGCACATCAGCCGCATTTCGAAACAGGGGAGAACAATAATCACGATTCGGTTTCTTGCAAAATGGTTCCACGTTTTCACCTAAACGCGATATTTGATCTTAAAACTTGCTTAAAAATATCATGTATACCTACTTATTGTAAATTGTAATAATATGTTAAAAATCTGTTATTGAAAATGTAATTAATAAATGGTTATGAAATATTTCAAATTTGTTTACTGCAAAGGGATGGTAAAATTATTTTAACGAAAAGAAAATTAATTTAATTCAGCAGTTATGACAATAATATTATAAAAATAGGATTCTAATTGTTCTAACGTTAAGAATCACTATTTAAAAACTGTAAAATTATTCACCAATTGTGTGAAACAAAAGAAAATGAAGGTTGGGGCTCTTAAAATCCAAATGAATCCAAATCATGATTCACGGAATCGAAATTCTTGTATAATTCATCTGTTCGATAAACCGGTCCTTCTCAATATTTCTACGTCGATCATTTTAGGATCCGAATTAATGTTTACAAACACAACTGCTTCAAAGGAAATATTTTAAAAGCTTATCTCGGAAAAGTTAGGTTAATTATCAATCACCTGAACGCGAAATTTGGGATCACTTTAATCGAAGTGGATTCTAATTCTTGAATCATTGTTCATCGAATCAATGAAATTTCTTTGGTGGCACACGTTGGATCTTAATCTTGAGATCAAAAATTAAGCAAGAAGGTGATCATTTTACAGTGTAAGAATCGAACTGATGTTTCTGAACATAACTACTTCAAAGAAAATGAATCAAAGGATTATCTTTTAGAGGTTAGGTTAATATCATATGAGGTCCAATAGCATTGTATAACGTTATAATACTAAGGACTTCGATTATTTTTTCGAAAAAATAAATAAACTATTTGACTCAAACTAGTTTTAATGTGAAACACATTTGAAATAAAGCTGCTGAATTTTGTATAATATAACAGAATTCGTAACACTGTATTCGCAGTATAGAACCCTTTTATACCTTCGTATCCTGGTTTGCAGTAACAATCCAATTCCGGATCGGATTTTGGACTAAAGGATTCTCCGTCTTTGTAAATTTTGCCGTCTACTTCGCAAGTAGGTCTCTCTTCTCCTTCCTTAACTAAAGAATATTACCGAACTCGTTTAAAATCAATAGGAAGTGTTTATATTAAAGATGTTAATTTCAGAAATTGTCAAAAAAATGTAGTTCTCAATAATTATAATTTGTAAAACATTGTAAGACAGAAAACTGCAACTTGTATGAATGTAAGTCACGATTTTCTGTTGCTTTATTTTTAATATATGCAAGTTGCATTTTTCAGTTACTCACGACAAACGTATGGTCCTGGACAGCACGAATCATACGAGTTTTGGTAGTAACAGTTGGGTTGCGACATGAAAGCACAGTCGTAAGCCGCGCAAATGAAACTGGGACTGTTTACAAATTAGAATATAATGTAATCTATGTGAATGTTTAAAATATATAAAATATAAATAATAAATCTTTTAAATCTATTTTTCTATAGATATAACTACTAAATTCCCTGAACTACAATTTTGCAATATTTCACAATTTCTTACAGATTTTATTTTCGAATTCACATATTAATATAAATTACGCTTATTTCTACTGCATTTAATGAAAAAAATTGAATCGTTACACTCGTAAAATCTTTTACAATTTTTCACGATAATTTGACCGACTTTTAAAGTACAACTTTTATAAAAATGTATAAAAAAAAAGAACATTGTCTGACAAAATTATGTAAGTGTTAACGTTGAAAATGTTCCTTGTTCAATAAAAAATATACAGTGGAAACAACATTTTACTAATTCAGTAAAAAGACGTGATCAAAAGTAGGACTCTGCTAATTCAATAAAGAAGATACAATCAGACTTTATCAGTTCGATAAAAAAGATGCAATCAAAAATAGGACTTCCTTGGTTCAATAAAAAAGATATAATCTAGTATAAGAGTTCTCTAGTCCAATAAAGAAGATATAATCAAAAATATGGCTCCGCTAATTCAATAAAAAAGATGTGATCAAAAATAAGGCTTTCCCAGTTCAAACAAGATATAATAAAAAATTAAAATAGTCGTTTCATATTAGACATCTGTTTTCAATTAATTAACGCGGTGATATGCGATCGACGTTGTAAATCTAATTAAATTAATTATTTATAAAAAATGCAAACGAAAGGAGCTTTTGAAGGCTCTTTTTATAAACTAACAGGTTAAAAAAATAAATCGAGAAAATATCTGACCACAAACGTCAGTTTTAATTTAACTTAAAACTCAATTTTAGTCGCGTTATATCCTGAAAATCTGAATAAATATTTCTTGAAATTCCAGTATTTTTACTATTTTTTTTCTCAAACAAAATCTCAAGAGAGATAGTTCTTTAAATTAAAATCGACAAGAAAGAATTTTTCTGTGAAAACCGTCGTATTTGCAATTTTTTCACGTTTCCAATTTGTTTTCCTCTTCAATGATCAAATATACAGAAATCAGTTATGTAAATATGTTAAAACAAGTTTCAAAAATTATCTATAATTTTATCAAGTTAAAATATGTAAGAAAGCTTTGTAAGAAATATTTGTAGTGACTGGGGTCTTAAACGTCTCAACGTGCCAGATATGTTATTCTGAAATGTGGCTGTTAAGGATTAACTTTGTTTATTAAGTCAAATATTGAAAAGACCTTAATCTCGTTAAAAACCCTTAATACACGAATACCTTTGACTCAAAATTTTCAATGATTTATTCAAACTGTAAATCCATTGATACTTACGGACTTTTATCAAACGACATACATTTGCACGCAAAATCGCAAGGATTCTTGTCCTCGTCCTTCAATTCTTCCCCGATATTATACTCGTGACCATTTGCGTAACACTTATCCTTTGACAAGCCTTTTAAATGATCACAATTGAAACTTTTTGGACAACAGTCGTCAGGTTTGTTGTACACCGGTTTGCAACCGAGATCCTTGTAATATCTCAAGGGGCCAGGACATTTTGTTTGATCACAGATCTCTTTAACACCCCAACAGAAAATATAAAAATTATGTGTCAATTTTGGTGCTGTTGATCTTTCAATATTTTAATTATTATAATGATCAGTTTAATTTGGAGAAAATTAGTTGGACGAACTGATGAAAGAATTACTGAATTATTGAGTATTTTCACTTATAATTGATATTTCAACTATTTTGAGCTTTAATTAATCTTCTTTTGTTATCATCGAATATTTATTATAGTTATTTATTATTATAGGCAATCTTTTACTTAATCATCCTCTGAATTACTGTAACTATGAACATTCAAATACATTTTTCTTTGAATACATCATTTGCTTGTTTGAATTGTGTAATAGGACAATTAATATTTTAAATTCTAATTAGTAGTAATTTCTGTGACGATTAAGAACACAGTCCAAAATAAGTAGTTAAAAAATTAATAGAAACATGAAGCTAATATTTATACAATTTTTAAAATTCTCCAAAAAAAATTTTGGATGAATTTATAATTTATATTTCTTGAATTTCTCTATACTTATAAAATAGGATTAATTTGATCATTTAATCGTACTTGTAACTTAAATTGTCCTAATCCTTTTCAGGTAATTGAAGTTTTTGTGTAATCAAATACAGAGTTGATTTCTAATTAAAATGTTACATTTTACAATTTTAAATGTTTGAACTATAAAAATTTTGTTTAAGTTTTTGTTACAAGTATTTGAGAGATTTAAGATTAATATATTTTATTTTTCATAACAGTAATAATATTCTCATATAAAAAATGAACCACAATATCCTAAACGGGATAATGAATAATGAGTTGATATTAATTTCTGTCTTTGTTTATTCAAAATAAAGACATATTTTATATACATTTTGTAATTTTGCATCACTTTTATTATGTGATTTTATGGCCGCGTTAATATTATTTCATTAAACAAAAGAATTATACGTTTAACGGAATTCAATAATTGACCAATTACCAATCCGCATAAATTTAACAAACATGATGAATTGAAATTATACGAGAATCACGAGTTATCGTCAATTTCCCAGTTAATGATCGTTTGATATTTGAACTAGCATAATGATCACGAACTTAATATAAATCAAACAATGAACGATAATGTATCAAACGAATAGAGCAAAATTATTAACTCTTCATGAAATTGCTCTTTATTCACCGTTATATCATCAAGTTGCCTTGAAAACATTCATCAGTGCGTCAGTATTCGATTTCCTAGTTAATGATCGGTTTAACCATCGATGATCACAAACTGATACAAATCGAACGGAGGGATAATGCATCAAAGAAATATGAAATTATTAAATGTCCGTATTCGTATGAAGTAAAATTATACTTAATTCTCGTTCTATCAAACGCTCTGAGATCTTGTATCAATTAATTTTGTATGCAATACTTTTCTGGTACATTACGTGCTATAATGATTAAATAATTCAAATAATGAAGCATTAAAACGAATATGATAAAATTGTACATATTCTAAACTAATTCGAATTATGTCAGAGAACATGTCGATTATTAATTTCTTAATTAATAATTCTTTGGCACCATGAGTTTCGTGACATGATTATAAAATTAATTCTTAATTACCATGATTTGATTATAATGTTACATAATGTTCTATTATATTACACGATATTGTAATATATTATATTATTTTACAATGTGTAAGAAGTATTCTTTTGTATGTTTATTTAAATGTTTTTATATTATATCTTGTTAACGTCTTCATAGTTAAAAATAACAAATAGTTTTCTAAATAAAGTATAAGTTTGTAATTTCAAATGGAGAGTAATTGCAAAGTATATATTTAATTTCGAAAAGATTAAATATAATCTTCATGGTATAAGTTAATTTAAATAAAATATTAGAAGAAATATTATAACATTTTTAACTGCTTATATGTTTTACAGTTCGAATTGTATTTTTGCATTCTATCACATATCTCTAATTAGTATTTTATTTAAATAGTTTTCTCCACTCGGTCCAAAAATGTACGTATCTTTTATTATATTATTTTACAGAATTAATCCATTGCATTATTTTACGTTTTGAAAATGTGTTCTCCAAATTTCATACTCAAATTTATTAAAATAATATAATTAGGACGACTCTGAAAGAACGATGCTCTAGAATTTAAAGAACCTGAGTTTCCTTTGAATGCCGCGTTTCTTATGCTTTTCAAAATGGCTGCCATGATATCTCACGAAATAAACACTCCTCTCCAAATTTTACATATTTATAGAAAAAGGTGGAACAGTTGATCACAGTTTGGCCTTTCATTGTTATATCAATACATTCTTACGTTATATTTTTGTTATGCAAGAATTATTTATGCATATTTAAATTTGAATATCTTCCAATATTTCGGAATCCATTCCAAAAAAAAAAGAGAACAAGTTTTTAGCTGTTGAATTTATACTCCTCTATTACGTCAAGCCATTTTTATAATATGCACTTTTTATTGTAAAGACAACGTTTATAATCAATTTATATGCAACTACTCAACAAACTTTATTAAGGTTTTGGATAAAAATTATCAAAATTTTCAGAAGCGTTATATGGATTTTTTAACGAATATTTACATTTGTCACTGATTATTTTTACCAATTATTGACATTTTATATTTAGGATCTTCTGTAATTGTCTTGAATAATCTGTAACTATTCGTCAATAATTACATTTAACTTTAAAAAACTTGCTTACGTTTATTTATACTCTATATATTTTTTTTCGTTCATAATTTAAACTTCTTATTCCTTACATAAATATAATAACACTAGATTTATGGAAAACGTCGAAATGAATCTTAAATTTTTCATTTAAAATTGATTTCTCATTTTACGAAGTCTCTGTTCAAATATTAATTTTTGTTAAAATAAAGAATGATTGTGTACTAGTTTCCCTGTCACCCCTTTCTACTTCAATTTCAATTTAAAAATAAATCAAATATAAATCTGACATTATTAATTATCTATAAATCTAGTGTTAAAATTGTTCTTTACTTTCAATCTTGTTCAATGATTACACTTCGTGTAAAAAATTTTGCTTATACTTCTTTTCACACGTGCCACATTTTAACGATAATATTATCTCCTTAACCTACACATTTTTCGACATTTGCGTCAGTCAGAATTACATATTTGTTACTGCAGTATTAAGATAAATAAAGAACGCTGAAATGTTAAGTTTATCTAAAAATTTAGTTATATTATAAAATATTATAAAAATTTTGTTAAAAATTTAGTTAGTTTAGTTTATTTAAAAATTTAGCTATTGTATAAGTTATAATTGATATCGAAATCTAACCACGATTTTTATGGAAAAACAATTTAGTTTTGTCATATTCGAACTACAACGTGCGTCATAATTCTCGATATTATAAACCAAGGGGTTCTTATATTGTCACATTTGAGCTCAAACTTTGAGAGAATTTTTTTACACCATATATTAACTGGTTAAGATAAAAGAGGTCCGCGATGAATACAGAAGTACAAATATTTACAGAATTTGAAATTTTATCGTGGCCTCGTTTATCCTCTTTTGACCACCCAGTACTAAATTCTCAAAAGATAAAAGACAAAAGAAGAATTTTGTTCAACCTAATTTACTCCACAAACGTCACTCACAATAACCCAGTAATTCTTTCAAAATTGACAGTCCTGAATACAAAATGTCTTTAAATCAGTAATGAATCTCCTAGATAATGATCCTTCTCACCTCGTCCTGCCACGTGAACGGCGACGAGCAGCGCCAGAAGGACGCAGCTCTGAACAAACGAACATGAATCACGAATTCTAACCATCATCTCGGCTCGACTGTACAAACAACAACTGTCTCGTGTCTTTTATACTTTCGATTGTCCAAGAGTCCAGGAAAACGAAGAACGATGGAGAGGGAATTTCCTAGGTCAGGATTCCACTCCGAGTGGGAGAATCGTTTGCTTTATCAAATCGTGGCACAAACGTGTTACGAAGGCCGTCGACCAAACGTGGATACAGGAAGAGTGAAATGAAACGGACAGTGAAAAGAAAGATGGAGACAAACGTAACACCATTGATGACACGTTCGTCATTGATGATCAAAGCTGTGAGCTTTTATGTAACTGGAAAATTGTGAGAAAGGGAAGGAGGAATTTTGGGTATTAATATTATGTATTAATTAATAGCGCAAGATGTAATCGAATAGTTGTACAATTGTGGAAAATAGGGAGACGGACTTGGATTAAAAATGTATGTATTTGGATTACTAATATTAATTAGTAGTGCAAAGAACCAACAATCGAATAATCGATTAATTAGAAAAAATAGAGAAAACGAATTTTGAATATTAATTATATCATTTGAATACTAATTGATATTAATTATTAATTACTAGTGCAAAGTCTAATCCAATAATCTAATAATTGATTTTAGTATAATCAAGTAATTACGAAAAATATGGAAGACTTTCGAATATTAATTAATAGAATAGCAATTGCTAACACTTATATGAAATCGAATAATATTAACGATTTCAGCAGCAATCAAAATAGAATATTTATTGCATTACTTAATAATCAAATAAAATATATTGCAATTATCCACATGTACTTATATTAATTCAAGTAATTGTAAATTGAAATAATTTAAGATTTCTCCTCATATATTCAAGAAATTCAATAATTCAATAAATCAATAAAAAAAATTCAATTCGATCAATTTCAGGCTTTTCTTCTAAAAAGTATGAATTAACAAACCATAATTTTCAAGCTCCAAAAGAAAAATTATTTATTTTCTAGTTTATCTTTATATGACCAAAAATTCGCCAAAAAGTACTATTGTTTGGTAGTAATATACTATGCTTTATTATGCTACAAATAAACATTGCTTGGTTGTAGCAATTTATTACAAATATCATTACAAAAAAATTCATCTTACTGTCTTAAAAGTGAGAAAACAATTAGAATTTCAAATCTGTTAATACCGCTGTTCCTCGATTACTACATCACGCTGTCAATCACAGAGTTCCTTCGCTCTATTTTGCCGTTCCAAACTTCCCAATTGTTCCGCTATACATATTTATCGACAGACATCGGACGAAAAGTTGTTGTGGCCAAGTATTATATCGTGTAAATACTTAAAGAGAGTTTGACGGCCAGGTTTTATAAGACTGAAAAGTTGAAAATAATTCGTGTTAATACCCAAGAAAGTTGTTATTAAAGGAACTTCTTAAGCAATTTCCGATAATGCTTTCAATGAAACTTTGCGGGCTCTGCCTTTTCCTCCTCTTGCACCGACAAGAAAGTAAAAATCAATCTTAATTACGACCCTGTAGCATATCATACGATTATCTAGTATTCAATACACGTAATTAATTTTCAATGATAATATTCATTGGAAACGGTAGTCGCAAACGTTTATAAATTAAAGATACGCTTCATCAACTGAGGTGTACTTCATACGCTTGAGGTGTACTTCAAGTTCAAGTTTAAAATTTAGCTTTTTAAATATTTAAAATATTTTAATTAACAAATATATAACGAATGTGAAGGTTTCTCTAATCGCACCTTTAGAAATTATTATATTTTACTAATTTTACGAACGTAATTTTAATTGTAATATTTCGTGACATTAAGTATAAAATCTTGTCCCAATTATACATTTATCTTAAAATGCCGCCCCTTTTGTGTTTATTTACATACAGTATTTTTAATCCTTGATATTCCTTTATTTCTAAGGATCTATCGGTTTTAATGCGACACCTCTGAAATAAATTGCTGGATTATTCAAGCGTTACGTAATCTGAACGTGTACTATCTTTGTAAATAACGCGAGATTCGCTGTTTATAAGACTTGTGTGTTTCTCGTGTGCTTCGATATTTCCCGGGGAATTACATCGTTGGAAAATCCGGGACTGCTATTACGATTTCCTAGAATAAATAATGGGTGATTGACATAAAGTACGGTTGAATAATTAAGGGAATCTCTGAGTTAATGATGCATTAAGCTTAAAGATTTGATTGATCATTAAACTGAAGCTCATGAATTTTTTTAATAACCATTTCTGCGTAGTTGAACAAAGTTAGCAGGAAAGTCTGTACCATCTTCATGTTAAATATCTCTATTCTTATGTAAAATATCAGTGAACGCCAATTCATCAAAACCTGCACTGAAAATGCACTCCCGTGACAAAAGCTTCTTACTGTTTTAAAGTAGGTTTGAATGATTGGCTTTAAAGCTTCATTTACTCTCTGCTACACGATATTTTTCCTATTCTAACTAAAAATACGATATTCACTTTCATCCGCGAAACATTCTTCCACTAATCTTGAGACTTTTCAACAAATTCTAACTTTTCAACAAATTTTCGGGCGAAAATCAGTTTTTACTTATGTCAGTAATGTACGGTTCTCTTCTTGCTATTCAACCATTATATCGATAGTTTCTCATTATTCTACGCACAGTTTCACCACTGATTTTCTTTCCACTTTCATGATAAACTTCTGAAGCTAATTGTACAGCACCGCAATGCGGATTTTTGTTAACGTCGTAATTTCCTGTCTTCTCTTCCATTCAAAATTCGAGTTTGTCTCTTTTCTTAAATTCGATGCGATCTTATATCTTTTAATGTCTGCCACTGTACTCTTCGTTGCTAACTATGCTATTTCTCGATTAGTTTAACCTTTCCTTCTATGGTAAATTACAAGTTGCCTCTCATTGAAACTGGTATTCTTTCTCTTCCCTTGCATGTTTTTTAGCTGTTTTCACTTGGGAGTGAACTCATACTGGAGTAAAATTATATTCCAGACGTTTATGTATAAAATAAAACTACTCCGCAGTTCAAATAGCTTTAAAATGTTGCTGGTTTGTATAAGGTGTACCGGTGTCCGAATGTTAATGAGATGTGAAAATACAATTTGTTTAAAGTTATTCAAGTAAATATTACAGCAAAAAGTTGTTGATTTTGTAATTAACAATGAATTTATACTTCTGTGAAGTAAGTAGTATATATAAATTAAGTTCTCCTATGAAAAACAACAACAAACGTAGAAGTTGTATTGTGTGTGAATATTAATGTGAATGACTGTATTAATACATACACTGTGTTAAATACATATGTCTTACGTAATATACAGCATAGAGACTGTTATTGTCTTTTGTATTGTATAGAGACTGTTATTGTTTCTTGCAATTATAATACAAACATATTCGTGTAACTCGTAAACCTCGACGTGTAATCTTAAGTAAAATATTTCACTATAAATTATTAAAGCAAATTTTGTATGTAATTACTTGTGCAATCCATTAGGAATAACATTGTGTACTAGCATGGTATTCAAACACAATGGTGGTTATTTTAAGCTGCCAACTTTTTTGTAACTTCAAATGTACATTAAATTACATTCTCAATGTTTGTTGTAATATCAATTTTAAATCATTGTCAAAAATGTGAGTATTACATAAAAATCTACAATTTCTTTTCATAATGTAACATTTTTAACAAGTTGTATATACTTATACATAAATTTAAAAATAAACGTAACTTCATTTCAACTTTATAATTTATTATTGAATTTACATATAAGTATTTATGAAGCGTTAAAAATATTGCAATGTGAAAATGAAATTGATTTCGATGTAATACTAATATTTTTAACAATAATTTAAAATTAAATACTCGTACGATTAGATGATTCGATTATGGAACATAATACAACAGAACACAGAACGTCGTGCAAAAAAAATATTTGACTTGAATGTTCTCAAAAAGGTCGGTTCTCTTTCCTATAATAATTTAACTCGCACTCGAAAGTTAAATCAAGAAGTTCGCGACAGTAACAAATATCCTTTCGAGCTGAATGTCTAAACGGGCTTCGCAGGATTCGATGAATTATTTTATCCTTCTGATTAATGGTTCAATCTCGCGTTCTATGGAATTCGAAATTTCACAGAATTTACAGCCATTCGGCTTCGGATCGTGTGATCGACAGAAATGACGGACATTTTTAACAAATATGAATGTAATCTCGCGGAAAGTCACGAAGCCAAGCATCGGCCAACTCTTACCAGAAATGAACAGCTGCTGAACGAGAAACCTTTCAAGATTTCTCGTTTTAATTCGCAGGAAAATGAAATCGATGGCATTGACACTTCTTCGATTACCGTTTTTAATACTTCGTACATTGTACAGCTGTCGAATTAGAATGACGTACGAAAATTTCACTTTTATGGCTATAACATTATGTTATATGGAAAATTGTCTTGGATCATGCAAATTATTACTGAATACGTTGATAACGATACATAGTAATTTGTTACTATGCATGTTTCTGAATAATCTTTTGAAGGGAGAATAGGGAATAGTCATCTAAATATATAAAGATAAATATTGTATTAAACATTGAAATAAATGTTGTACTGTACAGGCTGGCTCACCACATTTTGCCATCTAGATTTGCGTCGTTATTATTACTCATAGCAAACAATATTTTAGATGAAGTTGAATGGTTTTGAGAGAAGCATATGCTGGTGGTATATTTTTTTTTAGGTGGACGTGTAAAGGACATATGAAGGTCATTAATGTTTTTTTAAATGTAATCATATATTTTTTATTGCATCAGCTGATACTCCATCATATTATTTGCAAAAAAGTATTAATCTATTTATGTGAAAAAATCGTTAGTTTAGAAGATATTTTAATTTTAATGTCTATTTACAGAAAAGGTTCAATATGGCGACCATTTTCATCAGAACACTTTCTGAATCGAGAAATGAATGACTTACCGACATTCCGTAGTGTATAATCTTTCTGCATGTGTAGCACTTTTCCCAGCTTCAAAATAAACTGATAACATGTCTATC